GGTAGAAAAAAAACTTACGAACTTACGTACTATCACGAACTAGTAGCCGTTTACCTTAAGTCACATATTTTTTTCAGGATGGAGCGAGGAGTATCCATACAGCGGCGCGGTACGGCCACGTGGGCATCATCAACACGCTCCTGCAGAAGGGGGAGAGCGTCGACGTCACCACTAACGTAAGACGCCATGATGATTTACCATTAGTGTATTTTTCCTGTAAAGCGGATTCCGGCACGCGTGCTGCTCACATTTAATTATTTCAAACATGTTTTTGGCGAATTGGCTGCGGGCAAACAATACGAAATGTTTGTCCTGCTTGCAACCAGCAGCGTGATTTTACACGCACGCGGGCCAGATCCGCACGCGTGCCAGAATCCGCATGAAAGGATAAAGGCACTGGGTTTTTCGCAACAACTGGTCTTCTTTTTAAAATAAACTGTATGTAAAATTGAAAATATCTTCGCATCTATTATTACGCGATAACTGCTTCAAACACTCGCCCAAAGAGGGTGGTATAAGACAGGGATCAGTAATCAAAGATAACATCAAGATTTGACCTCGACACAAACCTCGAACCACGAAACCTTTTCCATATTATTATGAACTAGCGGCCGCCCGCGACTTCGTACGCGTGGACCCCGTTTTACCCTTAGGGGTGAAGTTTCGAGTTTTTTAGGGATTACCCGGAAATTATTCAAACTTTTCTTGCTGTAAAAACCATCCTTGGACTTCAACAAACATTTAAAAAAAAGAATTGGTAAAATTGGTCCAGGCGTTGTTGAGTTATGCGCTTACCAACCACATTTTGCGATTCATTTTTATATTATAAGATTATGTTAATACATAGATTTGAATCGTTTGTTTTATTTTTGAGATTTTGTACGATGGCCAGTTCTATTTAAGAATTTTTTTTTTGTAACTCAAAAGTACATCTCTGAAGAAAATATCAACAAATCACAACCTTCGCCCCTTAGGCTTGCGTGAGCTTATTGACGCCAGCCAGTGTCAATTTAAACCAAGTCACGCTATTGTCCTAATAAAATCCGGACATGCTTATTACCCTATTGGGTTAGAAGGAAGGTTATGCTTTTCATGTGGAATTCGGCTGAATTCGAGTGTTGTTTCCAGGACAACTACACGGCGCTGCACATAGCGGTCGAGTCGTGCAAGCCGGCCGTGGTGGAGACCCTGCTAGGGTATGGGGCTGACGTGCACATTAGAGGAGGCAAGCAGCGCGAGACGCCTCTACACATCGCTGCCAGAATACCAGACGGTACTAAACTAACTAAACCAGACGGTGCTTGCTCAATGAGGGCTATCGTTTTTATACTTAACAGTTGGCACCCCTGGCGATTGACAGGACCTTACTCTACAGTGGCGCCATCTTGATGAGTGCAAATGCGATAGTCCTCCTACCACTTTAGCACTCATCAGATGGTGCCACTGTCTTCGCTACTAGCAAGTGACAAGACCTTACTCTACAGTGGCGCAAACTGGTGAGCGCTAACACGATAGCCCTCATTAAGCTCAAAGTTTGTGACCATCAATCCTAGTGACTAGGAAAAGCAGCAGCAAAATGATATCAATTCCTGAATCGAAGAAGTGTTTAAAACAAACAACTATTTTTGATTTTGCAGAGTTTAGAGTGTTTTATTAGATCGGGGCTAATGCTGAATTTACTTTTCCTAATGTGGACCCCAACGGCCATCGTCTCTACGAGCTATGTGCCCCGCCCACTGCCACTTGATTTTAGCAATTCTGCGAGCTATGTCGGTTACTTTGGTTCTCCTGCGGATCTCCTCATTTCTGATTCGATCACGCAGGGAAACTCCGAGCATAGCCCGCTCCATCGCCCTTTGGGTGACCTTGAGCCTTCTTATGAGGCCCATAGTAAGCGACCACGTCTCAGATCCGTATACCATCACTGGCAACACATTTCTGATTCGATCACGCAGGGAAACTCCGAGCATAGCCCGCTCCATCGCCCTTTGGGTGACCTTGAGCCTTCTTATGAGGCCCATAGTAAGCGACCACGTCTCAGATCCGTATACCATCACTGGCAACACACATTGGTCAAATACTTTCGACTTGAAAGTTCTCGAGTGGCGACCACGGGCTGGAAGACGTAGCGTGGGCAGGCCTCCTACTAGGTGGACCGACGATCTGGTAAAGGTCGCGGGAAGAGCCTGGATGCGGGCAGCGCAGGACCGTTCATTGTGGAAAACCTTGGGGGAGGCCTTTGTCCAGCAGTGGACGTCATTTGGCTGAAAAGGAAGGAAGGAATGTGGACCATTTGGCTGAAACGAACGAATGTGGACCTCATCACCTATAAAATACAGCTTTGAGGCTGCGATACCCAAACAACGCTGGTTCGGAGTTCAAACCGGTTCGAACTCACCACCCCACCGCCGTTCGACGTCTTATTTCACGCATAACCAGGCTAAAAAATAAAGACGGTATCTTCACAGCATAGAGTTCAAATTGACGCTTTATTGAACCTAAGCTTAAGGGTTAACTAAGTAAGAGGGGTTAATGGGGCTAATATTCTTAATAAAAATTGCAGGTGACAAATGCGCGCTAATGCTGCTGAAGTCGGGCGCGGGCCCCAACAAGGCGACGGAGGACGGCATGACGCCGGTGCACGTGGCCGCCAAGTTCGGCAACCTCGCCACGCTGCTGCTGCTGCTCGAGGACGGCGGTGACCCGCTCAAGAAGACCAAGGTTTGCTCATTGGTTCATGTGGAAAACTTTTTAGTGTAACCTTCACCCAAGTAACACAGGACTACTCAACCTTCGATAGTTGGTCTTTGGAGGCAAGTCAAGCTGCAGATCCTGGCTATACAGGAGTTGCAGTCGTGGGAAAGTGTGGTGGGATAAGTCCCGTAACCTTCAAACACAACAACCAGAAAATATTATTATAATAGGCTAGTTTCCTAAAAATATTTTTAGTCCGTCAATTTTAATATGAAAAAATATTGGACACGTATAATTATCAATCAAACAAATAATTACAAAGTTATAGTTTGTTGAAGTTCCGCGCGACGTCACAAAGTGCTGCACTTTTACGCACTCACTGACGTCACAGGTCTTTTCTTTAG